AGGCGATAAGGAGGTTCCACTCGGACCCAAATCAGGGGTTTCCACAACATTCACATTCGTAAAAGGTAGGGGACTGCAGAGAAAGGATCTGGATGCCGCCCTCCCTTCTATTTCCTACAGCTTGTGGAGGGCCTCAAGCAGGAATCCCCCCACACTCCCGCTATTAAGTCACTGACACGAGTTGGAGTATATGACTCTGACAGCGCTCCCCCTGGTAGAGTCTCGAAACTCCGCCTACGTCCGAGCCTTGCTCGATGTAGAGAAAGAAGGTGGTCGTATTTCGGTAGCGGATGTTAAGAAGGCGGCAAACAATGCTCTCGGGCATGCTAAACGTAAGGGGATTCTAACTGATGCAGTCAATGCAGGCGAGAAGTTTCTACTATCAAAAGCAACCAAGCCAGAGCATGAGAACCTGATCAAATCGGTTCGAGGTGAGGTAAAGAGACGCTATGGTGTAGGAGTCCCTAAGAAACCAGCTAAAGGTTCGCCCGAAATAAAGGCTCAGATGGCTGCACTCCGTGCTAAACGTAAGAAAGCAATGATTGCTGGCTCTTTTCGATTAAATTAGTTCCACCCTATTCTGCGGATTGGGAGAAAAAAAATCATTGAATGCTTATTTTTTTGGCCTCAACAACAACATGATCGAGACAGAAGTATCACGGAACTTAACCTTTTGATCGTTTTGATTATAAATACTGATCGTAATAGACGTTCTCGCGCCGTTATGACAGTTCATCCAAGCATACTGACTCGGCTTATAGCTGATTAATTGACCTACCTGAGCATCACCACGGTCAAACGCACTAAGGATATCACCAGAGGCAACATACTCGTTTTTGATCAGGTCGCATCAAACGATGTAGCTCGAGGTTGGGTGAATCTGAGGAATGGTATTTGACAGCTGAGCACTTGAAACCGTTGCAGACGCTGAAGGATACGTACCAGCAGTCAATCCTACTACTTTACCAAAAGAGGCGTTATCAATGATGATGCGAGTGACACGCGTTGTTGTTGGCAAACCAGTACCGCCTGACGAATAAAGCCCACTTGCTGGTCGTGTCCAAGTGCCACCGGCTGTAGGAAGTGTCGTTGGAGTAGCGCTAAAATCGAATTGAGCAGCATAATACACACTGTTTTCCGTTAGTTGAATATAGAAAACGTTCTCACCAGATGGATTAATTAAATACGCTCCAGCATTTACGAGAGCCGTCTGAATGCTTCGATTAATATCGGTATAGCTGTAGTGTCCATCAGGGAGGATAACAGATACAGTGGATGTGGCTCCAACTGTCGGAACCTCGATTTTGAAGGAGTTATTCAGGAACTGAGTTGCATCGATGTTGTATTCAGAGTTATACATCGAAATCGATTAAACCGCGCATACCACATCCTTAAAATCGACAGCACTACCAGGAAAGCTGTATTTCCATGTGCTGTTATAATTGTCTTGAACGAGGTCAGTGGAATCGAGTTTAACAAAACTTGCCATGGTATATGTATATCGATTCACCCAAACAAAATATTCTAAAGTTATTGCTCAATATCTATCGGTCGATCAAAGTTGTATCTGATTTGACCTTTGACTGAATCCACGAACAGCATATGTCCTTTGCGCTCCGTGGCTTTATTGTAGTAATAGACGATTGATCGCTCATCAACGCCTTTAATGTTAAAATCCTTTACAACCACTTGTAAATCGCGCTTCGAATTCGCTATTAGAATCGCTACGTACTATGAATTCAAACCGAATCATCTTATCAGTGGCAAAGTAGCTGTGGCTTAGGAATATGGTTGAGAGTTTAACCTAATGCCCGCTTCACGATATTCTGTATAATACAGAGTAAATGATTATCTTTATTAAACTATAGCTGCCACTTTTGCAAACTTAATGCATTGCAAGCCGTCCGCAATGGGATGTAGCGAAAACGCTGCGACCAGGTACATATAGACTGCAATCTGTCGTAGAAAAACAACAATGTGCCCACCGGCTGGTAAAATGTCATGATTTCATTGGGCAAATGTGACGTGACTGGAAGAAACGAAGTTTTGCCTCGTCTGGCAAAAGGTTATTAAGGAAAAGATCCTTGAGAGAGTCCACGGCCATGAGGCTTTCACGTCGGGCCTTCTTACTGGCCATGGTAATGAGCTGGCCGATGCGAACAAGCGAGTGCAGTGGTGACGCCTGCGACGTTAGAGTGAGCGCGGCCACTCTATCGGCCAATGTACCGGACTTCATCATTGTCGACAAATATTTGTCATCACTTGACATTTTGCCACTCTTTTGCGTGTCGAATCGTGTCACTTCGTTTTCAAGCAACTGTTGCGCTTGTTGCTTCAGTTGCAATACCAGTTCATCGGTCGCTTTTAATGGCTCACCGTCATTCTTGTGCTTGAGTTTGGGCTTGATCTTGGGCTCGGCGTCATACCAAGCCACGTGTTGTTCGCCGAGTAGGGCCACAAGCTGGTTCAAGTTGCCAGGCTCCAAAGCCTTAACCACCGTGTTGCTCTTGCCGTCCTTGGCCATGTTGGCAATTGCCACTT